AAAAAAGGTTACAGGACCCCTTCCGCAGGGGGTCCAAGGGAACTCCAGGTGGCTGTAGGCCCCCACAGCAGGGCTTTGAAGATGTCCCTTTTGTAGAGCCCCTGGCAGCGCTCGCCAGGCGCAGGGCTTTGAACTTAGGCTTAAACTGCGTTAGGCATCACTCGCGCAGCCCTCTGTTTCAGTAGCAGATTTTTGTCCGTTGCATGGAATAATGTCTATGGTACATTGTAAAATTAAAAAGAAAACCGTTTTTTAACAGTAAAGTTAAAAAGAACCATTAGAAAGAAAAAAAAGAAAAAGTGTAAAGTGAGGCCTGCTGATCAGTGGGGCATGCTGATTTTATAACTGGAAAAAAGGCAAAAACCTAGCACCCGGCAGCCTTGGGGATGGGCAGGGCACTTCTGGTCTTTGTTTATCAGAGCCATTCCTGGGAGCTTTCCAGTGCTGCTTTCTGTGCACTGGGCTCGTTCAGACTGCTGAGCCTGTGGCTACCCCGGCAGCGCAGCACTGACGACAAGGGAGGCTCCTGCACTCTCCATCAGGACACCTTCAAGTGCTGTCCACTCATGAGGTGGATAAACTGGTACCACGGACACACAACACTGTTTGGATTGGACTCCCTTCAGGCAGTCCCTGGGAAACTGAGGACTGGACGAATTTTTTTTTAATATGTCGTTATTGATTTCAGAGGGGGGGGGAGAGAGAGAGAGAAACATCAATGATGAGAGAGTCATTGATCGGCTGCCTCCTGCACGCCCCTCACTGGGGATCAAGCCAGAACCAGGCATGTGCCCTCACCAGGAATTGAACCATGATCTCCTGGGTTATAGGTAGATGCTCAACTGCCAAGCCACACTGGCCGGGCTGGACAAATTTTTCATACCAGCCTGGGAACTCTAGGGCAGGAGGTCCCATGGTAGGAGCTACCTACACTGCTACGCTATTAACCTCTGCTGCCTGACCAATGTCAGTCCTGCTTGGGGCACCCTAACATCATAAACTCATTTTCAAGAGGACCACATGGCCCTTCTGGGGCTGTGCTCTATGCCCATCACCACACTGGCTCGGCGCTGGAAGACTTCAGGTCAGCTCGAACTTATAGGCCACAGCTATGCTGTACCTGAGTTGGTGCCTTGGGCCAGGTAAAAACGTGTCAGACAGAAACTAAGGAGGAGGCCCCCTGCCTTTCTAAGATAGACTTGTATGGTTAATGGGAATTATTTTATTTTAATGGCTAAATCCAGGACCCCTAATAGGTATAGCTGAGGTCATTCCTGCAGGTTGGTCTCACCCTGTGTGGAAGACCTGAAGTCTTCCAGCGCTGAGCCAGTGTGGTGATGGGCATAGAGCACAGCCCCAGAAGGGCCATGTGGTCCTCTTGAAAATGAGTTTATGATGTTAGGGTGCCCCAAGCAGAACTGATGATAACTTTGCTGCAAAGAAGCCTGAGCCCAGGGCCAAGGGGTCAACTGTGGAGAAAGGAGTTAATAAAGCAGGCCTGAGACTGCTCGCCTTAGAAAGGCCTGTTTACAAGGTTGGCCCTCGGCTGGCAACTGGGATTGTGGACTTTGGGAGGCTCCTCATCACTCTCTAAATGGAGTGGCTCACTCTCTGTGCCTAAACTGTGTGCAAACAATGTGCTGTATGCTGAATATCTGCTTTCCTTCTGGGAATCTGGAATTTGGTCTGAAATAGGCAGAGGGTCCCTATGCAACCAGCCCCCCATTAAAGCCCTGGGCACTGAGTCTTTAGTCAGCTTCCCTGGAAGATAACGTTTTGCTGGTGTGGTCACAACACATTGCTGGCGGAATTAAATGTGTCCTGTGTGACTTCACTAGAGGAGGACTCTAGGAAGCTCAGTTTCCTTCGGACTTTGCCTGTGCACCCTTCCCCGTGGCTGATTCTGCTTCACAGCCTTTCTCTGAAATACATCACATTGGCCATAAGCAGGGCTGTATGCTGAGTATGTGAGTCTACTAGTGAATCATCGAACTGGAGTGGTGGTCTTGGGGACCCAACACAGGGCACAGGGGGACTTCGGGAATATCCGTAGTGTTCTCCTTCTCAGTCTGGGGGCTGTTTACATCTTTGTGAAAATTCACTGAATTGTACAATTATGTACTTTTTCTGTATGTAGGATCAACTTCAGTAAAGATAAAATAGAAGACTATACACCACAAGGATAAAAAATAATAACATTTTATTTTCTCTCATTCTGTTTTTCTTTTCTTTTTTTTTAAATATATCTTTATTGATTTGAGAGAGAGGAAGGGAGAGAGAGATACAGAAACATCAATGATGAGAGAGTCATTGATCTGCTGCCTCCTGCACGCCCCTCACCGGGGGTGGAGCCCGAAACCCGGGCATGTGCGGTGATCTCGAGTGGAACCAAGATCTCCTGGATCATGGGTGGATGCTCAACCACTGAGCCACACTGGCCAGGCAATAACTTAACTTTTTAAAAAAAAACTCCCTTTTAGCCCTAGCCAGTTTGCACAGTGGTTAGAACGTCAGCCCTCCAACTGAAGGGTCCCAGGTTGGATTCCAGCCAAGGGCACATACCTTGGTTGCAGGGTCAATCCCCCCCCCTGTGCAGAAGGCAACCAATCCATG